GTGTACCATCTAAAAGACATGTTAAGAGCAAAATCAAAAGAGAAAGCATATAAAAGTATCCGTCGTTTCCTGCCTAATCTGTTTTCGTTACCAGGTGCTAAACAGCTGAGTGCCAGTGGGGGCGCTTTCCACGAGCTGTCTTTAAAATGCAATTAGAACTTAGGAAGGGCTTCTGGGTTTCTCTTACATTTGTTCCAGCCACCATAGGGTTGCCAAGGTCACACACCACCATCCGGCTTGTATTTTCCATCTTGTACTCACAGCTCAGTGGACGTAGCCCCTGCAGTGGGAAAGAACACCAGCATGCTGGAGGTCGGGGGGGGGGTGAAAAGTTACATCCTGGCTCAGCAAAGGCAGCTGTATGTGACAGCTCGATTTGCACCTGTGGCAAGGCCACGGTGCCCAGGAGTTCATGGTACCATTAACTTCGGAAGAGACGCTATGGAGGACAAAGGGATCCAGAGTTTAATTTTAGAAGAGTATGGGCCAAGCGTGTATATTTCACGAGGCGAATGCTTACCACTGCAACAAGGAATGCGTTTTAGAAATATGTTGCACTTATGCAATGTTAAATTTAGCAGGAGGATCCATGGATGAGTAACCACACGCAACAAAATTCTGATTCTTGACCTAAGATGAAATGATTGGTTAGCAGGGTAACTATCGTAATGCCTCGGTGAGCATGTGTAAGAGAACTGCTCTGAACACAGATTCCACACACCATGGTCCCACATTTTGAGGTGACACAACGCGATCTTGTCGTTCCTCTAATATAACATGGAAGAGCCGATTTTGTGTTTCCCATAGTCGCGTCTCCTTCTTCCCCTTTATAGCCTGTTCTCCACAAAGTGTAAAACTCAAGTTTGAAGAGGCGTTTAGAGCTCTGTGCTGGACAAGTTGTCATAAGGAATGGGAAGCAAACGAAAGGGAGAAGTGAGGGCTTTGTCTTTGAACTTCTTTCCCCGGCTGGTCCTCTCAGTGTCTTGATGCTACTCCTAGCTGCCTCGAAATCAAGACCTATGCTATCCACATGTGTCCCTTTCCTTTTTCAAAATGATGTCCCTGTGGCCCTGCTCACACCGGTCATGATAGCACAACTCACCCCTTATTCCTCTCTAACTTCTAAGTGCCACTAACATGACGCATCCTCATACCCAGAGATAAGTCTGACAACAGGAGGACCTTCTGTAAGGAACAAACTTTGGGAATTTCCATCGGGAGAGGTCCGTGGAAGGAAGAGTCGTTGAGTGAGGACGTCTGATCCATCTGTCAGTTCTGCATGAAATTTCATTAGGAAGGGCTGATGGAATTCTCATGTAAAAGTTTCAGAAATCACCCCTACCATTCTTCCCACTTCAATCTGTAGAAAAACCAAGATCCAACACCAAAACACAGAGAGTTAGACAACAGCTAGAATCAAGTAAATTTTGTTACATTTTAAGCTTCAGAAAATTAACCTCAGGAGGGACAGGGTTTTTTGTATCTCTTTATTCCCATGCCCGAGTCCTGTTGGGCACAAGTAGTAAATGGGTCATGAAGACTGCAGAAGTGGATTCAGCTTCAAGACAGGGCCGAAAGAATGGAAACAACTAACCTATAAAATCCCTCCCTCTCATGGGGGGTGCTCTGGGGCCAGTTAGTTAGCGCCTGACTCTCGACTCAGGTCATGATCTTGCATTGTCTATGAGTTCCCGAGTTCCGCTCTGGCTAGGGCCAGCTCAGAGGCCTGGAGCCTGCTAAGTTCTGTGTCTCCCTCTTTTCTGTCCTCCCTGCTCATACTTCTCTCAAAAAAATAAATTAAAAAATCACCACACACCACACACACACACACACACACACACACACACACACACCACACATATCCTCCTCCTGCAGTCAACCTAGGTAGAAACCTCCTGAAAAGATCTGTTCAAGAGATAGATCAGAAAGGAGCAATTGACTGCATTCGGAGGCACTAATATATGTCTTTCTAAATAACCATGACAGTCATTAGTATCTAGGCAGCTAGAAAATATTTTCAAAGGGATGGTAATGACTCTCTCCCTGAAGATAGCATGCATTATTTAAATTCTCTTTTTTAAACTCTTTTTTAATGTTTATTTATTTTTTGAGACAGAGACAGAGCATGAACAAGGAGTGAGCAGAGGGGGGGAGACACAGAATCTAGAATGGAGCTCAGTCCTCTGAGCTAAGTAGCAGTGCTCGACAGGGCTGAACCCAGCGACCGTGGAGATCGACAAGGCGAGTCGGACGCTAACCATTAAAACCACCAGATGTACCCCTTAAATTTTATGGGATCGTAATCAACTCCTACTTGTACAGAGAGATGTTTTGTGTTCAAATATAAGTCAATCCTGAAAACGAAAAAACTAAAGTAAAAACCACAAAGCGTTTTTAAAATGTCCATAGCCCTAATATATAATTCAAAAGTTTCTATAGTAAATATTTTATCTTATCTAAAGGTTAAGTTATATGTACATTTCCCCAGCTTACGAAATAGCTTTTTCACATCAATCAAAGATCTTTTCTTTTCCCCAGATCCCTCTCCATCTCTTTTTTTTTTTAACCTATTCTTTCTGGTGAGAGGACAATTGATTGTTTTTTTCTAGCGCTTGGGAGACAAAAGGATCAGAGTTTAATTTTAGAAGGAGGTTGGAGCGGTAAGCGCGATGTGTTTCACGGAGGGGCAAAATGCTTACCACGTGCAACAAGGAACGTTTTAGAAATTATTTGCACTATTGCTAATGTTAAATTTGGGCCAGGAGGATCACAGATGAGTAACCACCACGGAACAAATTTATTCTTGCCAAGATGAAATGGCGGCTATTAGCAGAGGGTATCGTATGCCTCGGTGAGCATGTGCAAGAGAACTGCTCTGAACACAGATTCCTACACACCATGGTCCTAATTTTGAGGTGACACAACGATCTTCGTTCGTTCCTCTAAATACTCAAGACGGGAAGAGAACGATTTTGTGTTTCCCCAGTGCTTCCCGTCTCCCTTCTTCCCTTTATAGCCTGTTCTCATCAGAAAGTGTAAAAACTCAAGTTTGAAGAGGCGTTTAGAGCTCTGTGCGGGACAAGTTGTCAAGGTTACAGCAAACGAAAGGGAGAAGTGAGGGAGCTTTGTCTTTGAACTTCTTCCCTCTGCGTCGGGTCTCTCTCGTGTCTTGATGCTACTCCTAGCTGCCTCGAAATCCGCACCTTGCTGTCCACCCTTAGTCCCTTTCCATTTTTCAAAACCTGATGTCCCTGTGGCCCTGCTCCACCTCCGGTGATAGCTACAAACGTTCACCCCTTATTTCCCTCTAACTTACGAAGTGCCACTAACATGACCCGTCATCCTCATACCCAGAGATAAGCTGACAACAGGAGGACCTTCACAAGGAGCAAACTTTTGGGAATTTCCGCCCCAGGAGAGGTCCGTGGAAGGAAGAGCGTTCTGAGTATGAGGACCGTCTGTCCATCTGTCAGCTCTGCTGAAATTTCATTTAAGGAAGTAATGTGAATTCTCATGTAAAAGTTTCAGAAATCACCCTCTATCCCATTCTTCCCACTTCACTGAGAAAAACCAAGATCCAACACCAAAACAATGAGAAGCTAGACAAACAACCAGACATCAAGGTGAAAAATTTTGTTAATTTTGCTTCGAGAAAATTAACCTCAGGGGGACAGGGGTTTTTGTATCTCTTTTATTCCCAGTGCCTGGAGCCATGTTGGGCACAGAGTAGTAAATGGTGTCAGAAGACTGCAGAAGTGGATCACACGCTTTGCTAAGACGGGGCTGAAATGAATGGAAACACAACTAACTATAAAATCCTCCCTCCTGGGGGTGCCTGGGGGGCTCAGTTAGTTAAGCGTCTGACTTCAAGCTCAGGTCATGATCTTGCAGTCTATGAGTTGGAGCCCCACGTCCGGCTCTGTGCTGACAGCTCAGAGCCTGGAGCCTGCTACGGATTCTGTGTCTCCCTCTCTTTCTGTCCCCTGCTCACACTCTCTCTCAAAAATAAATTAAAAATCACACACACACACACACACACACACACACACACACACACACACACACACACATATCCTCCCTCCTGCAGTCAACCAGGTAGGAACACCCACTGAAAAGTCTGTTCAGAATGATCAGAAAGGAGCAACTGACTGATATCTGGAGGCACCTTAATATATGCTCTTTCTAAATAACTTGCATGACACATTAGTATCTAGGCAGCTAAGAAACATATTTTCAAAGGGCTGGTAATGCTCTCTCCTCTGAAAGATAGCATTAGCATGTATTTAAATTCTTTTTTTTAAACTTTTTTTAATGTTTATTTATTTTTGAGACAGAGACAGAGCATGAACAAGGGAGGAGCAGAGAGAGAGGGAGACACAGAATCTGAAACAGGCTCCAGTCTCTGAGCTGTCAGCACAGAGCCCGACACAGGGCTTGAACTCAAGGACCGTGAGATCATGACCTGAGCCGAAGTCGGACGCTTAACCGACCAAACCACCCAGATGCCCCTTTAAATTCTTAAGGATCTGTAACTAACCCTACTTGTACAGAGATGTTTGTGTTCAAATTATTAAGTCAATCCTGAAAACAGAAAAAAAGAACCCAGCAAAAACGTTTTTTAAAATGTCCATGAGCCCTTTGAATATATAATTCAAAGTTTCTATAGTAAATATTTTTTATCTTATCTAAAGGTTAAAAGTTATATGTACATTTTTCCCAGCTTTCTAGAAATAGCTTTTTCACATCAATCAAAGATCTTTTCTTTCCCCAGTCCCTCCCACCCTTTTTCTTTTTTTAACCTTTACTTCCTTTCTCTGAGTGAGAGGAACAATGATTGTTTTTCTAGATATTTCTAGATTATTTTCCTTAGCTGTTCCAGGGACACTCTTGCTGTAATCCATTTATAGCTCTTAACATATTATTCATTCACTAAAAATATGTACTGTGTACCTGCTATTTACCAGGAACTGATAAAAACTCCTCGTCCTCACCGCATTTCCAATTACTGTAACAACCGTAATAAGTAATCACAAGCATTGTGAAAAGCAATGGAAACATAATCAGTGCAGTTTCAGTTTTACGATAGGAGAGATTCATAGTGATAGAGAAGGTTATGCACTTAGATGTAAGTAGCAGATTGAAGGAGGTGACATCAGGCTGCTGGGGGGCAGTGCAGACCGGTGGTTAAGAGCACGGGATTGGAGCCACCAGTGAAGTGTATGCTAGGCAACAGCTGTGTTAGGCATGTTAGTAAATCTCTCCTCCTCTGTAAGTGGGGGATACCGATAGCCTTGCTGTTTTGCTACAAGTCCGCTACGAAGATTAAGTAAATTAAACCCATATAAGATCTCAGAGCAGTGCCCAGCCCGATTCTTCAATACACGTTTGCAGCCTCGATCATGACCGAGCTGAGACTTGAAGGATAAAGAGAAAGAAGTGAGCCGGATAAAGGGGAGGAGGGAGTGGAGTTGGTGCGTCCGAGAGAATGAGCAGCAGCCACAACTCTTGTGGCAACAGAGCACACGTGTACTCCAGGAACTGGAAAGAAATTCAGTCCTGCTGGCATGTAGGGTGCGGGGGAAGAGAAAGGATCCAAGCCCAGGGACGAGAGGCTAAAGAGGTGAACAGGGGTGACAGAAGTAAGGGCCTCGGTAGTTACTGAGGGGCTTTGGGCTTTATCCTCAAAGCAATGGGGACTTAATGAGGGGTTGCAGCAAGAGGGTGCTGTGGTCAGATTTACATTTTAGGGAGAGGACGACCCCTTGCAGAGAGGGGAGGGGAGGCAGGGAGATGGGGAGATTAGTTAGGAGACATTTGTGATCTCGACAGAAGATCAGGCCAGCTCTGATGAAGGCAGGTGTCAGGGGCGGTGTCAGGGGCAGCAGGTGGAGAGAAGAGATGAACTGGGGACAGAGGTGGGCTGGAGAAACGAGGTGGCTCCTGGTGCCTTTCTCTGACCCAGGCCATGGAGGCGGGAGAAGCGTGAGTCTGGGAGGTTGACAAATCTAGTTCTGGACACGCTGGATGTGAGGTGGCCAGGAGGCAGGGGAGGTGGTCCGTGAGGTCCCCCGGATACCAAATGCATAGAGACAGAAAGCCGACCTGTGGTTACCAGGGGCTGGGGGAACAGGTGTTAGCATTGAGTGAGTACAGGGTTTCCATCTGGGAAGATGAAAAAGTTCTTTGCTGGATGGTTTTACGTAAAGGTTGCACAATCATGTGAATGCACTTAATCCCATTGAATGACACACTTAGAAATGGTTAAAATGCTAAAATATATTACATATATTTTTGCCATAATAATAATGCCAATCATAATCATCACATAAAGCACACAAGCCCTTATTCCTAGAACATTTTAGAAAAAGTCAGCAAAGGGAAGTATGAAGTCTGGCTCGGTGAAGGTTTCCAGAGAAGGAGATGGTCAGCATTTATATTTTTGAAATGATGAATGTGTTCAACAAAAGAATAACAAAACTTACAATCAGATAATCCTAATACGTTTTCCCCTGAGAGAAGATTGTCTAAAAAAAACCCTTGAGCTGAGTTCAAAAAAAAGGTACGCAAACCTCAAACTGCTTAGAGAGAAAGAACAAATTAGAATGTGGCTTCAGTCATGCGAGATTCAAAGACTGAGCTAAGTCTCTGCCCAAGGGAAGCTGATGGAAGAAAAAAAGTTAAGGGGCTTATTTGAGACTGTGGACGATGTCCGTTGTAATGTTTACAGCCAGAGATGGAAACGATAAGCGTTCTCCCGTATTTTCCATGCAACCAAGTCCACGGTAAACTGGATGTTTTGCTAAAAGAACATTTTAGAAAAGACGCTTTGTTTAACGAAGTCGGGGGTGGAATGACACGAAGGAACTGAAATGAAAACATGAGTGAAGCCACGGAACATTTTTAAAAATAACATACTCGAGCCTCATTTCTTTGTTTCTTTACATAGTATTTGCATGTAAGTGTGTACAGGTGATATTTTTCCATAAATTTCTCCAACAGAAACTCGTAATGATTCTATGACTGTCAAAGATATGTGATGATCACTCACCTGGATTTATTTATCTATTTTTCACTAAGAAGATAATTTAACCAACACATAAACCGCAAGCCTAGAGGGGTGAGTAGAGAATTTAATAATTTCTGCATCTATAAATGCCTATGAAGTATCAACATTGCAACAGTTTGCTGACATTAATTTTTTTTAAGTTATTGTCTACTTTTTTTTTTTTTTTTAAATAATTTCTAGGGGTGCCTGGGTGGCTCAGTTGGTTGGGCGTCCGACTCCGGCTCAGGTCATGATCTCAACAGCTTGTGGGTTTGAGCCCCTCATGGGGCTCTGTGCTGACAGCTCAGAGCCTGGAGCCTGCTTCGGATTCTGTGTCCCTCTCTTGCTCTGCCCCTCATCCACTCATGCTCTGTCTCTCTCTCTCTTAAGAATAAATAAAAAACATTAAAAAAATTTTTTAAAGTAATCTCTATACCCAACGTGGGGCTCGAACCCATGACCCTGAGATCAAGAGTCACATGCTCTTCTGACTGAGCTAGCCAGGTACCCCTGCTAACATCTCTTGAGAGAAATCGTTTTTCATTAAATTATTTAGTCTTTATGGGGCACCTGGGCGGCTTAGTTGGGTATGCAACTGACTTTTGATTTCAGCTCAGGTCATGATCTTGTGGTTCATGAGTTTGAGCCCCATGTTGGGCTCTATGCTGACCGCGCTGAGCCTGTTTGGGATTCTCTCTGTCTTGCTCTCTGCCCCTCCCCCATTGCTGTCTCTCCCCGACACCCTCAAAATAAATAAATAAACTTAAAATTAAAAAAAAATTAGTCATTAGAATGTTCATACGCCTCAAAGTATGTGGTATTTGGAAATTAACAGACATTTAACAAATAGTAGTTCAATGAACAAATCCATCAGCATGTCTCAAAGGAGTTCCCGTTGTGCCTCGTTCTATGTGAAGCACAGAGGTGGCCATGAGGGAATGTTAAAGTGGGTCTCTGTCCTTGATTGTGAGTCTGTACATTTCTGAAAATGAGGGACTTTCCCCACTGTCCTGCAATGTATTTTTAATGTGTTTTTAGACCAAGTGATTAAAAACACAGCAGAACCTGAGGATACCCTGAGTGGGAAGATTCATGTTCTGATAAAGGAGAGGAAAGATCATAAAAAGCATTGTCAGTTTAATAAATGGTGGCCTTGCCCGACCAGCAAATAATGACAAAGACCTGGCTTTTCTCGGTCCTGGTCCCCAAAAGGTGGGCCACGAAGGAAGAAAAATGAACGCGTTTCCTTTCCAGTGCCTGTCTCTGCTGTTATCAGTGCTCAGCTGGGATTGGTCAGACCTTCCTCTATAAGCAATAATGAAAACCAGAGCTCCCGGGACCTGCTTGAAACGAAGGGAACTAAAAACAAAGGCCTGAAAACAGCCAGCGAGGGTGGGAGTTAACAGGGGAGTCTAGCTGATAGATCGCATTAGTGAGATTCTTCTCTCAGCCAGCTGTATTCTCTTCCTTGCTTCAGCTCTCCATCTTTGGCCAACTGATCTTTGCACTGTGGCCAAGAAAGATATTAATATTGCTTAAGACCACCTCCCCTTCCTGGCTCACTGCTATTATGATTAGCAAAGCCGGGTGCCATTTTGTTCTCCTTCATTTGGGAAGAAAGTCTCAGCTAAGATGGCTCTACTTAATGTTGCTTTGACTTCAAATATATACCTGAGTTCTTTCCGACTTGAAATACTGGGCAAGGCATTACCTTGTTGCTGCGTTCAATCCCAACATAATCTGCCTCTTCTGGTATCATCACGAAGAGTTCAGCTTCGTAGGCACCTTCTCCTTCATTTCTTGCATTGATTACGAGCATAAGATGATTTTCATCTCCAATGATGACCTGATACTTATCTCTAAAAACGTAGTTTAAAAGGAATATTAGTTACCATACTTCTCTGGATTCACAGGTATTTTATCTAAGGACTTGGAAGGAAAGAAGGAAGATGGGGAAATATGAGACTTGGACAAGAAGATGGATGGATCATCATGAGGGGGTGGTGAGAAGAAGTAAGAGAACTGCATCTGTATGGGCAGAGCAGGAGGACATCCAGTGGTGTGCTGGTAACGCTGAACATTACCAAAAAAAAAAAAAAAAAAAAAAAAAAAAAAGAGTACCAATGTGTAGCATTTGCTGATTCCAGCGGCCTAAATCCTCCCACTGTGGTCAATTTCAGGCTACTGACATACTTAATCTGCCAGAAAGAAATCCAGGAAATCGGATGATTGGTTCCCAAGCCAGAATAAGGCAGCCCTGGCTTATCACTCAACACACCCGACAGGAAGACGATGAGCAGTGGGTGAAAAGGCAGAGACGTTTTAGAAACGAACAGGGGGAGGTGTGGATGCCAAGAGAACCATAAGAGGGAAGGAAAGAGGCAGATACAATAAAATCTCAGCCGGTGGAGGATTCTGAGGTATTTTGAGGAATTTTCCTTCTCTCCAAACCTCAAACTCAGCCGATTTTGCCACTTTTAACCCTTAATCAATCACAGCTGTTGTTTCGGACACTGGCTCAATCGTGAAGTTTGGGAAGAACATCCCCTAAAAAGACTGCCAAGCGGATTCCCAAACACTGGCGGCGAGATGGGCCTTGGGTGGGTGTGTGTTGGGGATGAGAAGCCTGAATCTGCTTTTCCCGACGTAGGATGTTGTACATCTGACTCTTGTTTCTTGCCCTCACAAGATGCAGTGTAGTTACCAGTGCTAGACTGATGACTCTCCATTACAGGCAACCGGAAAGACTTTTGATTCTTAATTTGACTTGGGGACACCTTCTGCCTGACTCCCCAGAGTGCCATTAAAATAGTTGTTTCAGCAAAGTAAAAGCGATTACGGTTTGACAACTTTAAGGATGCTTTTGAGCCACGGCCCCCGCACAAGCTGGTTCGGGCTAAGGCGGAAACAGAACCAGCCTGAGTCTCTTGCACGCATGACTCAGGCAAGTACGTACAACTTGAATCACCCCCCAGATGAGTTTACTTTGAACAAAAACATTTTTTTTTCCGCTTTTGCTGAAAGATGAAAACAGCCCAAGCGAAATCTTAGGGTGTGTTCATTTCACACCGGTGACAAAGGACTGACCCAAACCACAGGCTGACCCAAAGTGTTGCCAAGCTCAAGAATTTCACACAGGGTATTTTTTTTTTTTTTTTTTGTAGTCGTTGGAAGTGTATACTTTCTCCAGAGAAGCTTTAAATAAACACCTGTATTCCATTAGATAAAACGCACAAGTTTATTTATTTAAACTTACGGTCTAGCTGACAGCTTCAGGTCAGGAATGCACATGTTGTCTTCTCCACAGTCCACCAGGATGTGAGCCTGTGTTGTGCAAACAGGCATCAGGAATAATCTCGGAAAACCTGAATCACATCCTTTTTTCTTGACAACTATGAACGATTCCACAAATTAAACCAAGGCTTTCGTTTCTCTCTGTGTGAATTCTGCCCAGCTAAAAACCCGAAGCAAGGCAGTGATCTAACGGTATAACTTCGTTTACATAATAGCCCGATCCCCATTCATTCGGAAATGTCCATAAAGAAGGTACTCGGGCAGCACTTTGAGGATCAGAGGCTGTATTGATTCCATTACAGCCACATTTTGAACAAATTAAGTCTTGGTTGCACAAGGGGAAGGGCTTCCGAAAACACAGTGATGCAGCGTTTCAGGAAACATGTTAGGAAAATCTCCCAAACGTTACAAGTTTGTGTGCAGGAACGAAAACAAAAGAGGCTGGATTTGGTGTTAAGGTCACAGGAGCGCTGCCCAGGGCCTGACCGGGAATCAACCATCAAAGACTGTCGGGGACCTACCTGCTCGGTGACAGTGTTTTCCTTGTAGTAATTCAATATTGGTTTCACGTCCAGGCCTTCTTTCAAGGTGGATTCATCCAAACTGTAATTCAAACTAATGTTGATTGGAGATAATTTATCTCGGAATTCGGTTTCATCCTAGGGAAAATAATCACAAACGCAAGGAAGGCTCTGTGAAATAGCTACATGATGTTAGTCTGCGAGAAGCAGGCAACTGTGACCTCAGTCAGTGGACGTGAACGAGGAGGTAATTATCACGGCAGCGGGCTTAGGTACACGCTGACTGAGGTGGTATATAGGATTAATTAACACATGCTCGGGAACGAAACCGTTTAGAGTTGTGGCTTCGTTGAAATAGATGCTTCTGGAGGCAGTTTTCAGGTTCTGCAGATCTCAGTGAGTCACACAAATTGGTTAAATTGCAAAGGAAAAAAACATACTCATATACGCAATAAATGTCATGGAAAGTTTCGTGAATTTTTATTTTCATGAGGTTGGCCGCATTTAGGAGTCCTCTTGGGCTCAGGAGAAGAAAACATCTTGATTCTTTTCCTCTCTTATTATCTCTTTCAGCTTGCATGAACTGCAGAACACCTTCAGCACCCTCGGAAAAAACAAACAGAAGCCCTCCAGGGGGAGAGGGTCATACCCCGAAAGGCCCGAAGGGCGGAGACAAAATAAGAAAGAGGATAACCTCACGACTGGTAAAAAAGCTGGGATAATCGTGTTATATATATTTCAGCTCTTTTATTCCACGGTAGGTCTTGGAGTTACTGTAAATATACATTTCTTTAAAAACAGAATTATAAATTACTTTCAATAAAGGCACTGAATGCCTGAACGTTTTCCCAACTTGGCTCTGAAATGCACATCGATAACATCTGGCCAAGCATCCTCACGCAGGAGAAAAATTCAAATAAATTGCGTTTAATGTTTATGGTTTTTTGGGAGGGAGGCAGTGAGAAATAAAAACCACCTGAGTGAGTACTATTATCAGGTTAGTGTGCAGGACAGAAAGAAGCTTTGGGAATTAATAGCCACATGCTATTTCGGTCAGCTGAAGAAAAGCTCAAAAATGGAGCGTGTGGCCCTCAGAAGAAAGTTTCCTCCTATAAAATGAAAATAGATGTGGATCTCTGTGGACCCGAAGGATGGTCCAGTAGAGAAAAAAGGTTGGAATTGGAGTCTGAACGTTAGGAGGCCAGAAGGGTGATTCTGGAACACTCACTCGGAGGTAAACGACAAAGTCCTGGCATTGGAGGGATTTCTGCCGCTTGATGGTGAGAGGGAAAATGAAATGTGACTGATTGTTGTCAAGGAAAAGCGTGCGTTTGACGGCTCCTTTTTGTTTCAGAGTATCCAAGTATACCTCGGCGGTCAGGCCTAAGGGACAGAAATAGAGCAAATATAATCAGGAAAGGCAAAGTATTCAGTGAATGCAGTGCTCGAATGAATTTCTATTTCCACTTGCTTATTCAGAAAACATTGTTTTCATAGTTGGGATCAAAAACAAATACACGAGCTGCAAAAGTTTTATAAAATACTCCCCAAGCTATGAAACTTGTTTTGTAATGGTTTGACACAGTCACTTCCCCCTCCCCCATGATGGTATCTGTTTTTATAGATAATATTAACACCAATTATTCAAGGAATATTTACAGAGAGGTTTCCATATATACAGTAGAAATCTTAATATTAGAAACGGGCTCACTGCAAGTTTTACAGGGTCTGCAGAGGAACGTTCATTGTTAACTTTTCTCAGTGTAGCATAGGAGTGTAAAAATGAAAACATGCTCACCTATTGTATTTGAAATGCTCTGGCCCGCTACTGAAGCACATACTTTTAAAGAAAAGCTACGGAAAATAATAGTCAATAATGTATTGGTTAATAACATTTTGAATCTGAAACAGAAATCTTACTTCACCCCACCCCAGGTCAAATGAATACATCATTTTTCCTTTATACTTCTCAGTATACACACACACAACTAACTAAATATACATATATTTGTAAAAAAATACATACATACATATACACATATATACATACATATATATACATATATATGCATACATATACATACATACATACATACATATACACACACACACACACACACATATATATATATATGTATATATATATATATATATATATATATATATATATATATATATATATATATATATATATATATATATATATATATATATCTATCTATATATATCTATCTCACCAGTTGACCATAATACAATTAAGACAACTGGCTTTGCACAATGTGCTCACGTCCCTCCTGAACAATGGTAAGCCCTAACAGCCAGCATTCGAAATGGGGCTTTTTCACATTTCTAAGAAAGTAAAAATAGAAGAGACTACTTAACAATGATTTAAGGACACTCTTGATGTTTTCATTAATAAAATACTATAGTATAATTTGAATATTTCTACAGCATCCAAAAGCTGTAAATAATCCCCAATCATACTTTAATTATGTGTCAGCTTCCTGTGTCAAATATAATGAAAATGTGTCACATCTGGGACTCATCTATCTACCGTGACCTCAGTCAATGTCTCCCTTCAGGGTAAATAATTTGCCACATGCCATTACCAATAGTTTCCTGAGATGTCTCTGCTATTACAAGTGTTTGTACCCCTTCCCCAGAGAAATCACAAATTCCAGCCCACTTCGACTTTAATTAGAATTATTTAAGAAAGATGAGTAGTTAACCATATCTTTAAATTCTGCAGCAGGTATGGCTTTCAGAACTGAAATATTTTCTGTGTCCAACTTTTTTTTGGGAAGTACTTGGCTGTGTGTTAAAATCATAGACAAAGTTCATTAACTTTTACAAGATAAATTCCTATTTATAATGAGATTGTCAACTTAGCTAAGTTAAAGTAATTTTATAGATAGGATTTTGTTTGACATGAAGATTTCAAAAGCAATGGAGTTTTTGAAAAAGTAATAAATGAAGCTATGAATGTGAACATGATTGTCTCTTTGTGAGGAGGTATTTGATCGACAAATGATGTTAGCAGCTGAGTTATGAATTGTATCAGTTACCTGTCAGTGTTATTCTTAACTCCCCCTTTCTGTTACCTTCAAATCATTAACTGGATGACTGTAACTTTCTTTTTTTAATTGTTTTAAACGTTTTATTCATTTTTGAGAGAGAGAGAGACAGAGCATGAACGGGGGAGGGTCAGAGAGAGAGGGAGACACAGAATCTGAAACAGGCTCCAGGCTCTGAGCTGTCAGCACAGAGCCCAACGCGGGGCTCGAACTCACGGACCGTGAGATCATGACCTGAGCCGAGGTCGGCCGCTTAACCGACTGAGCCACCCAGGCGCCCCTGTAACTATCTTTATACAGGTTTAAAATAACTGCTACAACTGATCGAGTTATTGTTAGTAGCACCTCAACCTAAATGTGCTAGTTTGTAGATGCCTTTCACAGAAAAGTTACCAAATCAAAACGTTCCAAGCCCCCTGGTTCTGATCTAAAAGGAAAACCTCAAAATTTTATAGTAGTGGACAAAAATATTCATTCTTTTAAAGAAAATTTTTATTATCGGGCACCCGGCTGGCTTAGTCCCTAGAGCATGAGACGCTTGATCTCAGGTCCTGAGTTCAAGCCCAACACTGGGTGTGGAGCTTACTTTAAAAAATTTTAAAAAGACCTAGTTTTATCAGGTGTCAGAAAATGTCATCCAGTTATGATAAATAAAACATTTAGAAAATTTTTATTACTGAAATATAGTAATATTTCAGTAATACAGTAACATAGTAATATCACATACAGTGTTCTGTTTGTTTCAGGTGAACAACCCAGTGATTCAACAGCTCTATACATTACTCAGTGGTCACTGTGATAAGTGTAGTTACCATCTGCCACCAAACTTGCAACAAAATGATTGACTCTGTTCCCTCTGCTGTCCTTTTCATCGCTGTGACTTACTTATTTTGTTAACTAGAAGTCTGTACCTCTTACTCTTCCTCTTCATCTATTTTGCCTATCTCTCCATCCCTCCCTCCTCTCTGCCGACCACTTGTTTGTCCTCTGTATGAATCTGTTTCTGGGTTTTTTTGTTTGTTTGTTTATGCATTTGCTTTGTTTTTTAGGTTCCCCGTATGACTGAAATCATATGTTATTTGTGTTTCTCTGTCTGACTTATTTCACTCTAGGTCCATCCATGTTGTTGCAAATGGCAGAATCTCATTCTTTTACGGCTGAGTAATTTCCACCGTGTATCTGTACCCCATCTTCCTTATCCATTCATCTATGGACACTTGGGTAGCTTGGCTATTGTAAATAGTGCTGCAATAAACATAGAAATCCATATATCATTTCGATTTAGTGTTTTTGTTGAAGCATTCACTCTGAATTTAGCAAACTATATATTGTACGTAAACATACACATATATTCGCTATGTGTTTTATCTGCCAAAACATTTGGTCCACTCACGGTCTACACCTAATTATAAAGTACTCTGGCATTTTCAGGGAAAGCTGTGACCTATAATTAATTAGAGTTAAAACTGCAAACTTGAATTTATGGTCACATTCAATATGGTACATTAGTCTGAATAGGTCTGATTGGAGCAAAGACAACAAATCAACCCAGATCCCTCATCACATAAGTTCTAAAGGAAACTGACGTCTGTAGTGCTTCTAATATATAAGAAAGCAGGACAATACGTTATAAATCCTCTGACACCAGCCCCAACCCGATGTACAGTTAGAATAATGATGCTGTGGTATAATGGTGAGCGTAGCCATGCTTGATGGAAAAAGAATGAGGCGGATGTGAAACAGGATTTAAAAGTACAAAGCAGTTCAGTTTTCAGCCTACGCAATTTAATTCGATTTCAGTGACAGCAAATATCAGATTTTGCATAAAGGTAGGCATACTGGAAAAGGTTTTCTCAGATTTGAAAAGTGGATAGGGATGATCTTTTACATTTATCAATGAAATATCTTACTAAATGCTTTTTATTTTTCTAATTGATTAGTAACACTATTAATATTTGTTGTGCCATTTTTTTTTCTAATTTAGAAATACCAGTAGCAGATCGTTTATAAAAGGACACAGCTGTTTGAAAGACAAAGAAATTTACATTGGCAGACATGAAGAACTATTTCCCAGTCCGGGTTCACTCAAATAGTTTTCAGATGTAGAATACAAAGTTCGATCACATACAGACAAAACGACAAGAAAGCACATCAACAAATGCCTGTCAATTATTTTGGAAATACTGACCAAAATTCCTAAAATAAACTTACAAAGTGTCAGAGAAACACATTCTAGACTGAGCCAGCTGTTAACTTGCATCTTCTAGTACTCTGAGGCACCATTAATTCCAAATTTTTGCATGTGAAAATGAAATGTTTTTCAGAGAATGCATGCAATATGATGAAATAAATAATTATAAAGACATATACTATGCGTTTTCCCACATAACAAATTGCATTTTACCTTAATATGATGTAGTGCAATAAGGAAAATGGCTCATGAAAAGAAATATGTTCTTTTACATAATAAATAATATATATAAAATAAATATAATAAAGTAATACCCTTTCCATAAAACCAAACAGACCCCATCTCTGTTAAAAATACTTACATTTTATTTATTTGTTTATTTTTAAGTTTATTTCTTGATTTTGAGAGAGAGAGAGAGAGAGAGAGAGAGAGTGAGAGGGCACACGCCAGCATGAACAGGGTAAAGGAAGAGGGGAAAAGAAAGAATCCCAAGCAGGCACCACGTGGAACCTGATGCAGGGGCTCAAACCTACGAACGCTGAGATCATGACCTGAGCCAGGAAACCAAGAGTTGGACTGACTGAGCCACCCACACGTCTCTTATTTAAAAACAAAACAAAACAAAACAAAACACCTAAAAATCCTTTAAAAAAAATGATGTAGTTCAAAACAACACTTTATATCAAAGTGTGCCACACGCAGATACTTCAGAGAATCCAGCCTAGGGTCCATTGAGCCATGAACCGGGGAACACCAGACTCTTTGGGGAACTGAAGACTTAACACTCTTGCCCAAGTAGCTCCCACAGAACATTTCAGTTAATCACGCCAGGGTAAGGATAGATGCTGACTCTTTCACATATTTTCTCAGATCAGGTTTTCATTATAATATTTTATGGTTTTAAACCCTTTGAAAATGTGCTCAGGGCACTTCCCCGCTCTGTCCAAAAACTGGCAAAGGAGAGGGCATGCCTCGCAGAGTCCTTTGCCCAGCAAAGGACATTCTTCAAAGACTTGTTAAAGGTCCCCCTCACTCCCCACCCTCCACCCACGATGGCTTTGACTCTGGTATGAACTCCTGTCAAAAGGCCATCAACAACATGCTGAAACTGGCTGGAAAGAAGTTCTCTGAGTCAACACTGGTTTGTTGTGCCTCTAACAATTCTCAGGAACTGAACATACTGTCTGAGTTCGACCACACCTTCTGGAAAATGAGGGCAAATCTCAAACACTCCCAAGAATTTGTTGATTTTTCAGAGGCTATGCCCTGTTGGCATTACCCAATGAAGACAGACCTCTGACCCTTGAGGACCTACATACTGAGAAACAAAGTGACATGTTCCTAAGCCGTGTTACAACTGAATTCCATTTGTACTTCCTTCAGATGCCGGGCAAGATTGAGAAGGAACACTTCCAGAAGCCACGTAAGTTGTGTTCTCCTATGGCCCACCAAAGGAACCGTAATTTTACTGCTATTCCTGATAATGCGATCACAGCCACAACCACAGAGTTTAGAGCAGGAAAATCACTATTTTTATAACGTTTACCTCCTGTCAAATTGCGCGCGCTAAATCACGAAACTGACATGTGTTTTCAGCCCAGGAAACTGAGTAGTTTCACTAAAGCCTGACTAAAAGAGAGAGACATATATGTCTGGAAAGGGGTCTCCATAAGCATACACAAATGTGAGAGTCAAGGTATTTTCTCCTATTTGCAGTGCGGTTAATATTTATTTCAGCATGCAAAGAATCCAAAAGAGATCACCAGGATTTGTTACACTGGGAATTTTCCCAAATGTTTTTATGTTTCTCCTTTCACCTGGAGCCTGTAGACTGGGGAAGTAGCCTTCAGGTGATAGGTTAACAACAAAAGATCAGCATTATGTCATAGATCCTTCTCTTTTTTTCTCTATCTGTATTTATTTCTATCCATGTTGAAAAACATGAGTTCGCATTCAGGCCTCCCATTCCAGCTTAGCACCACAAGAAATATTCTAAATTCCCTCCTTTCTGTGTTTGTACCTTTCTTCTCCCATGCTGAGAAATATTGCCTCCATTCTCCTCATCATACTTACTTACATCTCCAATCTCTCTGAATATCGTTATCTTAAAAAAACATTTCTTGAGCATCAGTGCCACACAATGTTACATTAGTTTCAGGTACAGGATTTCGTGATTTGACAAGTTTATACGTTACGCTCACCAGGGTAGAGTTACCATGTGTCCCATTACACGGCTCTCACGGTCAATATCATTGACTGCGTTCCTTACGCTATGCTTGCATTCCTGTGACTTACTCGTTCCGTAACCGGGGGCTTGTATTGCCATCTCCCTTTCACCCCTTTTGTCCAACACCCCCACCCCCTTCCCCTCTGGCGACCATCGGGTCGTTCTCTGGATTTATAGTTCTGATTCTGCTTTTTGTTTCCTTGTTCATTTCTTGTAAAGATTCCATTTATGAGTGGAATCATGTGCTATTTGTCTTTCTCAGCCTGACTTAATTACCCTCTAGGCCCATTCATATCGTCTCCAATGGCAAGATCTCATCCTTTTTTACAGTTGTGTAATAATCTATTGTGTATATATATATATATATCCGTATATTGTAATATATTGTAATTTTGTACATGTAGCAATATATCACATATGTGTATACAGTAGGAATGTGTATGTATGTATACACATCACATTTTCTTCGTCCATTCAGAAAGACTAACTCTTTGCCACTCAGATTGGGTGCGCAGACCCACGGCATCAACATCTGACTGGAGCTTTTCAGAAATGCAAAGTCTCAGGCCGCACCCCAGGAGTTGCATTTCCCGAGATGCCCGGGTGATTTGAATCCACAGCGGAGTTTGAGAAGCGGCGGACTAACTCACCAGGCCACAGGTGACACAGACTCCGGAATCTGGCATGTTTTATTTTCCAGATTGATAATCATCGGGTGCAGCAAAAGCTGGGCATCCACAGTCACGACTGGCCTTGCTCTGCAGGGAGAAAACAAGAGGTTTCCATGAGCCACATGAGCAACACTGCACTTCTAGGGACCACTGCCAACGTTCCCAGCCTTCAGGCCAAGAATTTGCCTCACTGCATGAACAGGTGGGCTCCAGACTTAACTAATTACCTTAAAACACATGTCGTCGCTCATGACTCCAAATGAAGGATGCTATGGGCCCCATCAAGCAAAACTGTGTTCACAGACTCGCTTTGTTTATGGAGGGGGCTCAGGGTATTTGGTGCTATCGCCATGCACTGCCTCTCTGGAATCTGCTCTATTCCTATCGGAGCCAATGCGTCATTCTGCATTCACTCGTGCCTGTAAGTACTTGAGTTTTGCAAATTCTCTCATCTTACGGGCTGATGGTGTTTTATTTTGATTGATAATGTTCTATGCAAGCTGTGCAGATTTAGCTAAACTCATAAGGGTGGGTTGACAAGATCATTCTGGACTTCACGCAGAGCAGTGGCTGTCGATCCTGACTGCACAATATAAGCATTCCAGGAGTTTCCAAACAGGTAATATGTCCAGGCCCCACCACAGATGAAGTGCATCAACTCCTCAGGGGGTCAGGGCCAGTCACGGGAATGTTAAACAAACTCTCCAGGTGGTTCTAATGCTCGGCCAAATTTGAGGAGAGGGAGGAATGTAGAGCAAATGGAGTTCCACCCCCAGGTGAGGCTAACCAGAGACGCAAGTAACTCATTAGGGGAGGGGACAGGGCAAGTTTCGAACCTGGGCTCCAAGATTCGAGAGCTAAGAGCCAAGTCCCCAGATGACAACAAGAAATGATGTCGCACTGGGTAAGTTTTCCTTTGACAGGAGGGAGGGCCGTGCCTTGGGACAGTGTGTGTTCATGATTATCACAATGGGCCCCACCGGGAGTTTACCCTACACTCCTTACCTCTACTTTGTTACATAATTTTGTTTTTAATACTGTGTTAGCTCCAGGCCTTGAAAAAGCAAGATAGTAAGACCGAGTAAGACATGCCCGGAGTTAGACAACCACTGGGGCAAATACCTATGAGGAAAGACAGGGAGGGAGGGAGAAGCCTGGCGGCCAGGCGTCAGCCTGCGAGGCAGGTAAATAGTAATCTTTCCTCACAGGTAGCCCTCCTCTATAAGCACCTTTCAATTCGTTTTCAAAGCAAAGAGAAAAATTCAAACATAGCGTATCGTTTTAGAAGTTCTCCTAAGATTCATATCTTAATTTAACATTACGTGAGTAGGGGCTGGAAGTCTGGTCATAAGGTATGAGAATAAAAAGACAGAGAGATGAGGGGCGCCCGGTGGCTCAGTCAGTTGAGCGTCCGACTTGGGCTCAGGTCATGATTTAAGGGTTCGTGAGTTCGAGCCCCGCGTCAGGCTCTGTGCTGACAGTTCAGAGCCTGGAACCTGCTTCAGATTCTGTGTCTCCTTCTCTCTGCTCCTCCCATGCTCTCTCTCTCTCTTTCTCTCAAAAATAAACAAAAAAAGACAGATGAAGGAAAGCAATTGAGAGCAAAAATTCCTCCAAACTTTAAAAAGAGCATCTACATGTTCTCCAAAATAAATAGTTGGGATGTACTCTCTAAGGCAAAAAGAAACAATGGAAAGAACACTTGCATACTGCAAAGCACGTACCTGTAAACAGCTACTTTTCCTGTTCCGAAGGCACCCACAATCAAATCTAAAAAAAGACAAAAACTCAAAACACATGCACACACTTGACAGAAACAATCTCAGGTCATAACCATAAAGAGCATATTTAGCACCCCAAAATGCTGATGGTAGAGAGTGCAGCTCATCAAATGAGAGCGGCAAACTGCACCGTCCTGAAGACATTCTGGAAAGGATGCTGGAACATCACTGTAACCCAGGAGGACACACAGACCAGTACCCTTCTGGACTTAGGAAGGCCAACTTCCTCGAAGTGCTTTAGAAATCCATCATAACACCCTTTCTCCCATCCTCTGGACTTAAGACCTACGTGTGAAGGAAAGCAAAAGGGGAAAAAGCTGGTGCTTAGTGCCTGTATGTACCAGGCTTGTGACACACATTGTTTTCCCATTCCTTCCAGCACCTGTGAGGCAGGTACTATAACCCATGAAGCGATACGTGTTGACTGTCAGGTTGACACAACCATTCGCTCTTTAGGAACAGAGTGGATGGTGAGTATCCTCTTGGCAAAGCGATTAGTAGTTTGTGAAGTAACCGATGTGTCATTATCACGATCTTAAATGACAATAACGTTGGTAATAATAAATAGCACGTGCTGAACACTTCCTCTAGGCCAGGAATTCTTCTGAAGGGTTGACCTTAATGATTCCTTGCGAAAAGTTAGGAAGTCTCTATAATTATCAGCACGGTTTTGCAGGTGAGTAAATTGAGGCTTAAGAAGGCGAAACTATGGGGGCACCTGGGTGGCTCAGTCGGTTAAGCGTCCGACTTCGGCTCAGGTCATGATCTCGCGGTTCGTGAGTTCGAGCCCCGCGTCGGGCTCTGGGCTGATGGCTCGGAGCCTGGAGCCTGCTTCCGGTTCTGTGTCTCCCTCTCTCTCTGCCCCTCCCCTGTTCATGCTCTGTCTCTCTCTGTCTCAAAAATAAATAAATGTTAAAAAAAAATTTTTTAAAAAAAGGTGAAACTATGAATTCACTGGG